TGTTAAATTTTGTCCAGGTCCTATTGGATTGCCAGCAAGTATATAAATGTTGCCCTCTGGTGATGATGACAATACACTGCCACCTTTATTAACCTATCCAGTACATTAATTCAGGGTTTCATTGTTAACAAATATTTTTACCCTGTTTATAACTACCTTAAGTCTGACTTTATTACTAAATCGCAATACAATAGTCCAGTAGAGAGACTGTTCCCGGATATCGATGGCCGCCTCAGTCTTGTTGGGGTCTTGTCTTATCACGCGGTAGGTTACGGAGCACTGGTAGGCACAGGTCAGCACCAGTACTATCACCAAAACACATATCAATTGTTGATTCATTTTTGCCTTATTATAAGTTAAAAAACGAGAATTATGTTAAATTTAATTTTTATAATGTTACTACTTTAACAATAATTACATACCATTATACAGTACTTGTTATGTGTACATAATGTTTTCGTAGACAGTATTTAACAAGCAACAGAATATTTACTTTTGAATAAGAAACCAAATTAAAAACATTAACTGTGTGCAGGTTATCAGCGATTATGATAATAATATATCACATGAAAAAGGTTTGAGATAATATATTATATTATTGTGTATTTTGATAACGATTGCACACATGATGTGAAAACACAATCAACAGTGTATTAAAAATAGTGAAACACTTGTATAAAAATTATAATTAATACACCTTTTATGGCAACAATACTGGTATAAATTATATATAAAATTCAATGTCGAAAAATATATAAATAAATATGCTTTCAATGCATTTATTGACATATTCTCAGTGTTCACTATTCAGTGAATTTCATAATTAATAACAAAACATATTGTTATTAAATGCTTATCATAAACATTATTACAGGGATTAGCGTTTATTAAACAGGTTTGTTATTTTGAACATGATCAGATATTTATTTATACAACCAATGAGTCAACATTAAGTTACTATTTAATAAACATGTACCAGTACTAATTAAGTAATGAAATACAAGATTTCAGGTTATTTACTATATTTACTAAAATTGCAAGCATCAAGATCGCATTTCAAATGTATTAAAAATAATTTATTCAATTAATTTTTATTATCTATAAATTATGACTTTAATTATGGATATCAATAGGCTGTCCATTATATGTTGCCCTAAATGAGTGGAAAATAAGTAAATGTTAAATAAATTGATTACAAAATCAACTCATACCTAATGAGTTGAGGGGGCGGTTGGGGTACAGCCAGGGAATAGGTATCTCGAAATTGTATCGACCGGTTAGTACCCGGCTGTATTGGGTTACCACTCAATGTATACGCCTTTCCATCGGGACTGGCAAAATAGATACTGGCACCTCCCTTCACAATCTATTTATACATAAGGCGGCGTGCACAAAGTACATACGCACTGGTAGGGGGGA